CTGAGAATAAATAACTACTTTTATTAACATTAATATGAACAACCCATTCTTTCATCAGCCATGCTGTTTGTTGGTTGCCAATTGGTGCATTTCATTTAGTCTTTTGATGATGTATTGTATTTAATTGTCTCTTTCTGTTTTGTTTGGCCTTGGGTTGTATTTGTCAGACTGACAAGAGTTTGATGATGCTTGAAAACAAAAGTTAGAGCTGATAAAACTACTTTGAGCCGGTTTGTCTGTTTTTTTTAGGGCAAAGGGAAGAGGAAACATGTTGACAAAGTCATGGCTATACGAAACAGAAAGATATTTTTCTATATTGCTCACAAGTTGTCCAAACGCTTGAAGTGTACTCATAACCCTGTTCTTAACTTTCAGCCGTTCGAAGCTTAACTCCATCAATGATAATAAGAAGTCGCATTCGTAATCTGTCAACTCTCTGAAAGACTTTTACAAAGTCTTGATGTCTAGAACAGGTTTTCATGCTTGAATATTGTGTGTTGCACAGATGTTAAGTGGATGCTCGCCTAAAATAACTATTAAAATATCCCACAAATTGTTCAGATATTGCATGTGAAAAGGCAACTGCTAATTACTGCATGTTTCATTATGTTCAATATTAAATACTGGCTAAATATTGGAGTTTAGTGGATTTTATTTCAAATTAAATGTTTTCAATGTTTGGACACTCTCTTCTCCTCTTTTGAATATATATTTGCATCTCTGAGAAAATGTGCAGGTACTGATGAAAAAGCAGTACAAATATTCACCTAATGTTGAGCAGGAAAGATTTTTATAAAGTCTTGATGTGTTTCAGGCTCTACTTGATTATTCTCCTCATATTCTCCATTGTTGCGGCTCCTCTCTTCCCAGTCTGTCAGTAACGCTCTGTTCACTTCCTGTCTCCTCCTTCTGAAAGCACACTGTGCTCTGATTGGTCGGCTGGATCAGTGTGTTGTGATTGGTCGAGCGCTTTGAGTGTGTTTGGGAAAGTCCCGCCCCTTCCCATAACCACCAGTTTAACACAAACACTCAATTTCTGACGAATATTCTGCTCTAGTCAGAAAAACATCACGTTGTGTACGAAACATACACACAAAATCCAGAGCCGCTGCTATAAAAACAGTGTTTTCATGATCCCTCATAGTCCTGAATGTGGTGTTTGGTCTCGGCATGAGGTGCAGAAATCATGAGAACGCCTCTCACCCATGAACAGCATTTAATTGCGGTGATTACCAGCTTTACTGAGATAATTGTTCGGTTCTATGGTTCAGATTGGAGCTTTTGGGGATAATTTGCACTGTTTTAATGTGTGTGTATTGGCTTGATAAACTGGTTTCTCCAGGGAAGGAGAAACAGCCCTCCTCTCGGCAGGGGGCTTGAGGGAATCAGCCAGTCCTGAAATTACCACTCTTCTCAACTTCACGTCACTTCGTGTGAACTTTTAGCTCCGATTATCAATGCCATATTTTTCTTTAAAGAGGAGATATTGTGCTTTTTTTCCATATTTACCCTTATCTATATCTGTCAGTGTTTTTGAACTCCTGGAACGCCTCCATTGTAGTCTCGAGTTTCTCCCGGGAACGAACACGTCATAATGGGCTCTATGCACGGCGGTATTTCCGGTGAAGATGTAAGGATGCTCGATAACTTAACACCGATCGTAGAGTCCAATGCAATACCGAGAATTTATATTGAATTTTATACTCCATGGTTATACTAAAGAAACGTTAGTCACAAAAACAGATAAAACAGACACCCCTCGTTGTGTTTATGCTTCTTTTTAAAATTATATTAAATAAACATAACTATATATAAAATTGCATCTAAACGTGTGTACGTTTCGTTTCAAAGACGGAAGGACAGTAAATTTTGAAGACTCCGCGTTTTCCTCCGCTTTAATCTCCACAACCGGAAATGGACGAGCATCCTTGCGTCAAATGCGGAATTTATGCGTGCATATAGCCCATATTCCTCATTATAATAATTAATGCGCAGAATAAAGGGGCGGGGCCTGGTTGAGTTAGTTAGTAGTGTGTTAAAATGGCGGTTATGGGAAGGGGCGGGACTTTCTCATACACACTCGAAGCGCTCGACCAATCACAGCACACTGATCCAGCCGACCAATCAGAGCACAGTGTGCTTTCAGAAGGAGGGGCTTCATAGAGACAGGAAGTAAACAGGAGTGCATTTCCCAATTTTGCAATTTTCATTCACGTCATATAGTTTGTCAATGAGTCTATGATTAAAACTGCACTGTAAAAAATCACAAAAAAAATTTACAGTAAAAAAAGGCTGCTGTGTTTGCCATGACTTTACCGTCAAAAATACGGTAGCAGCGTTATTGACTGTTAACTAAGTACCTACCTCATTTTAGGTGGTAATATGTCCATTTCAGGTCCTAATATGTACATTTTAGGTTTGAATGTGTACATTTTAGGTGCTAATATGTACATTTTAAGTGCTAATATGTAAATTTTAAATGCTAATATGTACATTTTAGGTGCTAATATGTACATTTTAGGTACTACATTTTAGGTGGTAATATGTACATTTTAGGTGCTAATATGTCCATTTCAGGAGCTAATATGTACATTTGTGGTAATATGTACATTTTAGGTACTATGTACATTTTAAGTGTTAATATGTACATTTTAGGTGCTAATATGTACATTTTAGGTGCTAATATGTACATGTTAAGTGTTAATATGTACATTTTACGTGCTAATATGTCCATTTCAGGAGCTAATATGTACATTTTAGGTCCTAATATGTACATTTGTGGTAATATGTACATTTTAGGTGCTAATATGTACATTTTAGGTGCTAATATCTACCACTAAGGTACCAATATGCAGCCTTTGGGTACAAAAGTGTACCTTTTGAAAGCCCCAGTGACAGCTTTTGTACCTTTTTTTCTGAGAGTGTACCAAGTTGCAAAGTTCACAAACCGCTGTAAACTTTCCAGCACTGTACATGTTAATTTCACTCTTGGCTTCGTGAAGACGCCGATAGGAGTTTGTCTGCTCCATATGATGTAAAAGCATGACTCTTGAAGCAGCAGAGCTCAATGTGTTCATGCAGATTTGGTGCAACATGCTCATTTGTGAGACAAAGAGTCAATTTTCCGTCTGCGCCTCTGTCTCTGGGGTGTGTGTGTGTGTGTGTGCAGATGAAAACCCACTGCCATCAAACACCTTTCAACATCACTTGCTGCGACACACAAGGCTCTCCCAAAAATAGGATGCGTGTGGTTGCGCATGCGGGACACGTCTGCTCTAAAGAGCCCGTAAAAGATAAATCATCTGCACATCAGACTCTGTTTTAGAGGTGACTGACGCTGAAGACACACACAACCATCCCAAAAGGTCCTGCGCTGAAAAACACTGCATTCATGACGACTTTTTGCAAACAGGTGCATTAGAGACGTCACTGAAACAACATGTCTGAATTAAGATGTTTTTGATATTTCACATCAAGTGCACGATTTTATAATTGGCAAACTTTTAGCGATCAGACATGCATGGTGTGCTAAAACTTCTCAAACTGGTTTAAACTGAATATTCGATCATTTTGCATGCAGATCTAATGTTCTGAAAGACTAGATTGATATTAATTCCCCATGTTGTGAGATTCCCCATTAAAAATGAGAAAAACTTGTGATGCTGAACCATCTAAACTTCAGTATTTCTGTCTCGTTTTTAACGTTTTTAAATCAAGATACATTTACTGGAGAAGCTAAATAACTTTAGATATCGTGACTTTTCTCAACATGTGTCGATATGAAGTGAAAAAATATCTGCCAATCTCTTTCTCTTTAAATTAAGATTATTTTCCTGACCCCATTTTTCAAAGTTTTCTCTTGTTTTAAGCATAAACTGACTTTAAATATACACTTTTGATTCTGATTTGTGCATTAACTACGGTCCAAACCCCTTTTAATTTACATTATTTTTCACAACTTGAGTGAAATGTTCAATTGAAAAAGAAGAAGAATGTTCATAACTTTTCTTTACTTCAAATTTTAAATTTACTTTTGTATTATTTATGCATTTGGCAGACGCTTTTATCCAAAGTGACTTCTGTTGCATTTAAGGTAAATACATTGAAATTGAAAGGGAAATAGATTTTCAGTCAAAACTAAATTTAATTGAGACACCTTCAACATTTCTCATAGTTTAGAAAATGATAGTAAAATATGACTATGTCCACTGTAAAAAATAAATACGCTTTATCTAATCAAAAACATTGCGGCAACAGATTTCAAGCAATATTATTAATTGAATTTAACAAATTAAAATTGAGTAATAATTAATAAAATTAATTCCTTAAAAGTTAACCATTTAAAATGAGTAAAACTTACAACAAACAAACAAAAAACTTACATTTAAGTCACCATTATGGTGATCAGTGTTTGTTTTAGGATTGTTTTAAAATTACAGTTTTCTCCTTCAGTGATTCTGCTTGTTAATGTTTAATGTTGGCCATAAAATATAAATAGTTCTTAATTAATCTTCAGATATTTTTGTAAAATTTTTGGGTGCTACTCATTTTAAATGGTTAACTTTTAAGTAATTAATTTGATTAATTATTACTCAATTCTAATTTGTTAAATTTAATTAATATTATTGCTTGCAATCTGTTCCCACAATTGTATTGATTAGATAAAGCGTATAGAACAGGTTTTCATGCTTGAATATTGATCATTTGAAACATTGATCAAGAAATAAAAAGTGCATTAGCAATTAAAGAAAAAACGCGATCAGCTCATATTGTCATTTTTACTGGAAGTCCAGTGTATAATATGTCACTTTATTTTGCCATCCTCACTTCCATAAATGAACTAGTGAAATAGTCTGAATAATTTTTGGTTTGACTGTATTTCGAGCGCCTGATGATGATGATGATGACGACACGCTGTTATTGTGGTTATTTTTAATCTGAGACGGTAATTTATAAGCGTGTCAACACGAGAACACTCTACGACACATTCAGTAGTTGGTATAAGTGAGACCAGTAGGGGTCGGATCGCGTTCCCCTGATCTCAGCCTCCGGCACATGTTCAGTCTCAGTGCTGCATGAGAGAGAGAGGGAGAGAGAGAGAGAGAGAGGGAGGACTCTTCTCTCTCCAGCTTCAGACGCGAGGGATGCGCTTCATCTCCTTCGGGGTCTCGATGGATGGAGCGACAGGGTCATGAAGGTGACCACCACCTCTGGGTTGGATTTAGGGGGCCATTACCGCAGAAGGAGCATATCCATAATTAATAAGCGCGAGGCGGAGATCCTAGAAGCGAGGCGCAAACACCGGCGAGTCATGTCACCAACCGACAGCGCTTCCAGAGGAGCTGACGAGGAGGACAAAGGAGGATGAAGGAGGCAGAGGAGGATTATAATGAAGCTGAGTGGCAAAGGACTGTGCACTATCGTCTCCAGCTGTGTGCTTTTCGTGTGTGCCGTGAGCGCGGTGATCGTGGGGTTCAAATGCATCGCGTTGGGCTCCAGGGTGCGGGCGCACTTCCATCTGGGCACCGCGGCCGGCGCGTTTTACTCGGGCATCTTAGTGGCCGTCGGGCAGGTTCTGATGGGAGTTGCGCTGGTCTTTTGCAGGGGGAAGCCCAGATGTGCGAATTTTTTCCTCTTTGGGATTTTAGTGTTCCTCCTAGGGGTTCTCACGGCGTTTTCGGGCGCGGTGGTGGATGGCGATACGGTGTCCCTGGTGGAGAGGAAATACGCGCACTATTGCGCGGACTCTGTGGATGTGAGCCCGGCGTGCGATGGGCTCAAGGTGTACCAGCGGGGTCTGGTGGTCTCCACTGTACTTAACACTCTGGAGTGCCTACTAGGGCTGATGAACCTGATTATTATTAAGCGTTACCACGCGGCGCGGTTTCGCCGGAGACGCAGGACGCAGCGTCGGAGCGCGCGCATTATCCTCAACGAGGAGCGAGAGTTCGCGGTGACGGAGTTTCAGCCGGTGTCCTACATCAACCTGGGGGTGTTTCAGGCGTTGGACGAGGCGGACGGGGAGGTGCAGAGCAGGGGTCACCCGTGCATGGAGTTACCGGGTTTTTCGCCCACCAATCCGGAGCTTAATCACTCGTACCCGTTTTCGTACCGGCTTCACAGCGAGATGCCTCCTGCATACGATGACATATTCCCTGGAGAAGAGAGCAGCAAATAGCCGAGGGGAGCTATACTAGCCTATGGACCGTTTTGCACTGACAATCACGCTAAACTTGGAATTGGCACGTTATAATGTACTTTTTACTCAGTTGCAGGACAAACCCATGCGGAGGATAACGTGCTGTAAGGATTATGTGCAACATTTGTTTTTGACCTCTCTGACTGACTGATTGTATTCCCGATTCATCCCATGTCAAAATCCCAAAGAAAAAAAATCCGCATTGGAAATTCTGTCATAGTTTGGATCCTGGTTTTCTTACAGTATTCCAGCAGGGCACAAAACAAAAAGAAGTTATCAACTGAGCAAACAGAACATGATAGAAGTGTGCATCATGTAAGTTTTGTTTTGTTTTGTTTTTGACCTTCCTGAATGATTGTATTCCCAGTTCATCTCTAGTCAAAAAGGTTTGTGTGTACTGGAATATCAGTTGCAATTGGGAAATGAATGACCCACACTCTTAGAAGAAAAGGTTCTATCAGCGTTACGTATTTGGAACCCCTAAAAGGTTCTATACACTCTTTAAAAAAGGATTCCTCTGGGTTCTATATAGAACCCTGGGGTTCCAAACTTGGTCAATAGAACCTTTTACCAAAAAAAAAAAAAGGTTCTATATAGAACCATTTTGGAGTTCCATTTATGAAGCGGGGGATGGAACCATTTCTGGTTCTAAATAGAACCATTTTTACAGTATTCCAGCAGAAGTGATGAATTGAACAAAAATATAATATGTGTGTAATTTGTGTTATGATAGAATTCTAACAGGTTGGACTATTACACTCTAAAAATTGCTGGGTTGTTTTAACCCAACTTTGGGTCAAATATGGACTAACCCAGCCATTGGGTTAAATTTTTATTATTACATTTTTAACCCAACGTTTGAGTTTGTCCATATTTGACCCAAAGTTGTGTTGAAACAACCCAGCATTCTTAGAGTGTATGATTCCCAACATCAGGATAAAATGAAGTTGAAGTTTTATTCTGAAAGTTGAGACATCTCATGATTGTTTCTGATCTCTTCATCCGGTGTTTCAGACAGAAAGCCACTGCTGTTGGCGACAGTGAAATGACAAGCGTCACCCATCAGGGATATGATTAGTGTTTCTGAATCATGATGTTCAAGAGTAATCGGAGTTGTACGGTTATCCTCCGTATCATTAGAGGTTTCCGACAACACTCACACCCAAACCGGTCATTAAATAAACACTGAAACGATTATTTAAATTCCAATTGGAACGTTGGTTGTGTCATTCTGTTACTGATGTCTGTTATTTTACATATTCCAATGGAACACAAAACAGTAATTTCCCAATAATAGGACTATTATGATGCAATACGCAATAGAATTATTATACCAAATGAATAAAATGCTCATGTAGGACCTCTATCATGTAAAAAATATTGTTGGTTTAACTTAAAAAAGAAGTTACCTGGTTGCCTTAAAATTTTAAGTTCATTGAAATGGAAAAAGTGAGTTAATACAATGAAGGAGATTGATTTAATCATCAGAAACTCAAAATTATATGTTATCTGAGCTAAATAAATTATTTAAGCTGATTTGACAAAAGAAAAAATGTGATTACTAATCATTAAAAGATTTTTTTTCAGTGAAATGTTGCATTTTGAGAATGAGAATGTTTTTGGTAAAGCATTCATCTGTTATTAGGGCATTATATCTTTTCATATAAGTTAAAATGCATTAAAAATGAATGGATATGTTTGTTATAACTGCAGTTATTATGCAGCGCGTTATAAGGTGCAATCTTTAGGTGAAGTGTCACCAGGCTTTTCTATGGGTTTAGTTCATTATAATAACGCTGCTGTCTAGCAGCAAGAAATACAATGAAATCCCAGAAGCGTTAGGAATCAAAACAGCAGTTTATCCGGTACGGCTGATTTAAGGATTGATTGAAATATGATTGTGAATCCTGACTTTTTTGACTAGGGATGTTTTCCCTCACACTGCTTCTGTTCCTCTTCTGAATAAAAGGTGTACTCTCTCTCTCTCTCTCTCTCTCTCTCTCTCTCTCTCTCTCTCTCCTGATGTTGAGTCCAGGTTGGACTCGTGACGGTGTGTGTTCTTCCTCCAGCAGGTGTTGTTGCCATGGTTCCTTGACCCTGTTTCTACCTGTGTGTAATTAGATATGTCTTTGAAATGCAAATCTGCTTGGTTTGTCAAGTCTGATCGGGTGCACAAAGCAAAGCCGGTTGTTTAATGCAACAAACACATACGTTTCAGTTTAGCCTTTTAGAGCGATCTCTTTGAAGAGATTTCACTGGATGCCAAAGGGACATTTTACAAAGAACTGCGCTTTTCATCTGAGGTATTATAGCATTACAAACACGTGGAGAACATGCCTAATTATTCTGAGTGGATATTATATGCTTTGGCACGAGGACAAAACATCAGATGAGGCTTTTCTGATGACGAGACAAGCTTTTGTGTGAGCAGATCTCAAACTCTGAGATCATACTGAACATGCTTCGGTTCTGCTACTTTATTTTATTCATTAGAAGATATTGTCAGCGGACAAAATGACATGACTTTGAGAATGTCTCAGTATTTGGTTTATGCTGTACTGAAAAAATTTCTGATATGACTTGAATTGAGGCAAAAACATCACAATAATCTTGATTACTTGCAGAGCGCTTGGCATTTTAAAAAGCTGTTTTCTATGTGAATGAAAATTATATGGTGCAAAAGTTCATTTATTTCAAGTAATTCAACCTAAAAGGTGAATCTAAAATATTATATAGACTCATTACATGCAAACTGAGATATTTCAAGCCTATTTGTTATAGTTTTGATGATTATGGATTACCAACCTTTTCAAATCTGGGGTTTTCATAAGCAATAATAATTATAACAAATAAAGGCTTGAAATATCTCACTTTGCATGCAATGAGTCTATATAATATATTAGTTTCACTTTTTGAGTTGAATTACTGAACTGAATGAACTTTTGCACCATATTCTGTTTTTTTGAGTTTCACCTGTATATTAAAATCGAATTTATTCCTGAGATTCAGAAAGCTTTAATCATCATTACTCCAGTCTTCAGTGTCACATGATCCTTCAGAAATCACTCTAATATGAGGATCTGATGCTCAAGAAACATTTATGATTATCATCAGTTTTGAAAACGGTTGCATATTTTATGTAAGAATATAAATGTCTTTACTGTATCGTTTGATCAATTTATTGTAATGCGTCCTTGTTAAATAAAAGTCTTAATTTCTTCACTCTAAAAATGTTGGGTTGTTTTAACCCAAATTTGGGTCAAATATGGACAAACCCAAATGTTGTGTTAAAAATGCAATTTAAAAATATACAGTTGAAAGTGAAAGTTTTTAACCCAACATTTCGGTTTGTCCATATTTGACCCAAATTTGGGTTAAAACAACCCAGCGTGGTTTAGAGTGTTTAAAAATATGTTTGAAAAGTAGTGCATATTTAATAAGTCACCTACACTCTTAGAAAAAAGGGTTCTATATATGTAGCATAGGGTTCTTTACTCGACTACAAAGAACATTTTATGCTAAAAAAAAGGTTCAATAATGACAAGAAAGAACACTTTTGGCACAAAGGTTCTTTAAAGGCTATTATTTATTCATATATTACATTATTCTGCAACATTTTGTAGTTATAATCATTGTTTATTAAACTGTTAATATCACATTTTAATCATGCAGATTTTTAGAGGAGAAAAACTGAAATGGCACTTTTTGTGTGATATTGATTAATTAAATTTTTTAACCCCCATATCTTGAATTTTGTGATCATTCACATGCATTGCATTTTAGGGGTTCCAAATACGTAGCGCTTTAGAATCTTTTAAGGTTCTATATAGACCCTTTTCTTCTAAGAGTGTAGAAACAAAACTTTGTTTTAAATGATTCTAAATGCCAACATTTAATGAATATATAGTTTTTAGACTCATGGATCTGCGATTAGAAATGTGTTTTCATGCGGTTTTGCTGTGATGATGTACAAACTGTGTTTTCCCTTTTCAAATGTCAAAGAAAAAGCCACTGCTTACGCGAGGCGTTTCCATTCAGAACATCTCAGCTTATTAGAGATATGATTAATGTTGTTCCTGAGTAATGATCCTGAAGGATTCTCAGCATATCCAGCCTGTCATTTGCTGGAGTTGTTTGTTTAGAAAGAAGCATCAGATGTGTGTGAACGCTCGCACTCAGGTATTGAAATCGTGTGCATGATTGCCTTGTAAATATTTAAAGCAAATCTTTCTGCACGATATTTTGCGTCTTCACGATCTCACCCCTCTCGAGTTTGATTAGCCGGCGAGATCTGACAGTTCCCGATTTCCCCGAGAGGATTCGCTCATCATTAATAGAACTAAAAGAGCTCTGGATGTGAATTAACAGGCTAGAAGGGAAATCGCGGCCTTTGAAAGACGGCAGTCGTGCAGAATAACAAGTGCATGATGGGAAAGAGAACAGTCATTGTGTTTCCGCTTCCGACTGTGAAAAGTGCCTTTTCAAGCAATCCTTTAAAGACGCACTGTATATTTTGATGAAAGTGTGACGATGTTAGAAAGCACAATGCTCTGGAGACGTCGCTGAAGGTCAGGGGAAGTTGAGTTTTATGGCAAATCTTCAAAAATGCTTTTATTGAGCTAATGGAGGCCGGAGACTGCTTGTTGCCTCGTTATCTCTTATTCAAATGACCAGGACAGGAAAACATAATGTTCTCCCCGTTTTAATTTATTATCATGCTTTTTTTTTTTTTTTTTTTTTGCTTGTGACCTTTAATTTTGATAATGAAATATACAGTGGTTAATGCACTTGTTTGTCTGAGATGTCATGATTTCTCTTGTTATTCTCCAGATTCATAATCTAATATTAAGCTTTCTTTCTCAAATATGTTCATCTTGACTACAATTACAGCCGTTCTCCTTCAATCGGAACTGTATTTTTAAAGTTCAAGTGACTTTTCTGAGCGAAATAGAATATTCAACTAGACCCAAAACAAGCTTTTTTCTTCTTGTCTGTTATTGATCTGGCTTGCTGTTGTCAGAAAGAAAGGCTCATATTTCAATTAAAGTAATGTGTTTTTGAAAGGAAGGAGAAAATGCTTCCTGTATATCTTTTGTTGTTGACGTCTAAATATCATATTTTGGTGACTTGATAGAAGTCAAATATTGGGAAGGTTGCATGACAAACTCTAGAATTTAACTATGCAAAAGAAAGAAAAATTCAATCCATGCAATGCAATATTAAAGGAGTAGTTCACTTTGAAAAAACTTTTGCTAATAATTTACTCGCCCCCATGTCATCGTAAGATCGTAAGATGTCCATGTCTTTCTTTCCTCAGTCGAAAAGAAATGAAGGTTTTTGATGAAAATATTCCTGGATTTTCTCCATGTAATGGACTTCAATGGGGTCCAAACGGTTCAAGATCCAAATGAGCGTTTCAGTGCAAACTGCAAACTGTTCAAAGGCCTTTAAATAAGCTTTCAAATAATAAATTTGAATAAGGGTTTTATCAAGCGAAACGATCG